AAAAGACCATGATGCAAGTTCATTCAGCTGTCTACTCACTGTACAACAAGGATTAGGTCCACCTGAACTCTCTGGCAGCTCAACCTTCTCGTCTACATAGAGAGTTGCGAACACAGATGAGTTAGGTTCCATCAATGGGTAGTGGCTGCTGAATGTGTGGCTAAAGGGTTGTGAATCCAGGGGAGCGACACAGGGTGAAAGAATCCCCAAATCAAGGGCTTGCCATGGACTGAAAAGGAACATATACGACACATATTTGACATCCTTAGACTTTAAAATATTCTGCTGAGGGTATTACAAATACAAAACATTTAAAATTGACTTTTAAAGACAAGTTGTATCCAAATTCTATCACCATTATAAGTCTCATTATTATTGATTGGCTATTAGAAGAGAAATGCAAGGAAGATCCTATCTACACCTTCTGTATTCAAACCAAATTCTCTTTTATGTCCTCGGTAGAGAGCATTTTCTTAGTGGGCCACTGAAGACAAAACCCCTTTGTTATACAGGCTAAGAGAAGGAGGCTGGGATGGACAGAGTAGAGTTCAGGCAAAGTGGGAGGAAGCTCTGCCCTGGCAGGCTCAAGAGAGAGTTGCTGTGAGGAGCAAGAGGCAGTGCCTTGGAGTGCTCCCTGCATCATTACATGCAGGCAGCCGCTGACTTTGCCTAGGCACCGGGCCAGCTCTGGCAGGAGATTGAATCAAGGCTATTTGCATGCCTGTTTTCAGGCCATTAAGTTAAGTTTTGTCTACCCATCCAAAGTGAGGAGGAGATCAATGCAATCATGCAGAAAACTTAATTTCTACAAAGAAGAAAGGAAACTTCATGCTTTCAATAAAGTACAAATTTTATTTTCTGTAAAGTGTGACAACTCCCATTTTATTCTATATAAAGTTTCAACTCTTCACTAAAACATTGAAGTATCCTTAGAAAAGGTGCTTAGAAAAGATACTTAGTGTTTTAGTGAAGAATTAAAACTTTCTCTTATGTGTTTTAAGAGTAAGGACAAAACCAGAAAGACATAACGCCCACACGGCATGCATGGTGCCGGGTACTGCCATTTCTATGTTATGTCCTTGGATACCCACAGTAGTCCTAGGACATGAATCTAAAGCTTAGAAATGTCATGGGCCAGGCAACTGGGTAATTGCCACAGTTTAAAGTATGTGGAAATACCCAGAAATTTCAAACAGTGCTGGCAACTTTGTGCTGATGATCGTCTATGAATAGTTCCCTGGTTCTTTCTAATTCTCATTGACTGGAATAATGCAAGCCATTCAGCAATATGATACGAATAGATATTTCCTTTTCAAAACATTGCACAAATACATGATTTCCTCCCTCTTTCCACCCAGTAGGAGAAGTAGGAAAAGAGCACAGTAATAGGAATTTACCTCCAAGCTATAAAGCCTTCCTATCCTTTCAGTAATTACCAAAGAGAGTTCCTAGTTACTAAGGAGACCATAACAGACTGCATTAGATTCAAATACAACATTTGGGTTGCCTGACTAGTGAATGTCAAACAGCAAGGAAAATATTATTGTTGCTGAAATCATTTGATGTCTATGACTAATAAAAAAAACATGTTAGCAAATTGAATTATTTGAAATGCCCAAAGGGCTTGGTTAAAGCCATGAATTAATAGCATACAGAGTTCTTTCTGGAGAAAAGAAAAAAAAAAGATGAAGATGTTGAACTATTTTAAAATGTGTCTGAGTAATCAAAAGTTCTCAATAAAAACCTTAGACAACCAATCTAGGTCTTTTATCCAATTTTTAATTTAAATTTCGTTTTCCTCTCTTTTATAGCTAAATAATAAAGTTTGTACATTTTGAGTCACATTATTCTTGAATTCTAAGGGACCCACAGGTTTTCTTGGCCTTCTTATCCAACTTCTCACAAATACCAGAATTATCTTTAAAGTGTACCAGCTGTACCAACCCTGGAGGCTTTGAGAGCTGAGATGTCCATTCACTTATGTGCTGTGCCCCTGGGGAGCTGGAGAAAGCCAGAAGTGGAAAGAGTTGAGGGAGGTCGAACTTCCAATGACCTCTCAACCCAGGTCCCACAGGTCACTGGGGGCCTGCCTGAAGATGTCCATCCGGTCCCTGCTTCATCTTTCCCAGAGCAGAAGGTGTTTGCCAGGATGCATCCTATCCTGTTCTGGATGCAGCTCTGGTGGTTGGAGGCGCTTTCTCATATTGTGCCAGCATCTGCCTCCTCGTGGTTTCTACCCATTGTTCTTCATGGTATCTTGAGAACAACATTGTTGGACTCAGCTTCCTGTCTTCTTGAATAGTCCCTTAGGTAACTAAAGTCAACTGCCATGACTGCCTCGTATATGTAATGTCTTCTCCAAACGACATAGTCTTCATTTCTTTCTCAGATAATAAGGTAAATATACAGGGACAGAACATACAGTCACCATAAGAGACAGCAAAGTGGTCTGGTAATTGAATATTTTTTTAAAAGGAGTTAAAATTTGTACCTAGAAAGCTGAAATTATTAACTGATATTGAGAAACCCTGTGTCTGTCCACTGAGTTCCCGCATTCAGCCATCAAGTTATTCCATCAAAATGAAAATGTAGCTTAGTAAGACTTTTTCTTAGTGACAGACACCATGCCATCTCCTAGTGACTGTTCACTAATTCTCACCTCACTGCATTTATTTTTTCTTGTGTTTATTTGCTGTCAATGCATACTTTCAGAAAAGTTTCTAGAAAAAAATAAATATCTGCATATGAAGAGTTGTGACATGATTTGAGAATTTGAATACCATTTATTAAGAATTAAGGGAGGGGCAATGTACAGAAGCTAAATCTTCAGTTGTTTTCCCCTCAATATCTTATAATGAAAAATTGCAAACATAAAAAAAGTTGAAATAATTATATAGTAAACACCATATAACTCAACAACTAGATTCTACAGGGAACATTTTGCTGTCTTTGGTTTATCGTGTATCTATGGTTTCTCTATTAAACTGTCTTATTTAAGCATTTCAGTGCAACTTGCTCTCACCAGCACACCTAGTCCTTAATATTTCGGCATGCATATCATTGTTAGTTCTTTCTGACACTTTCTAGCACTCGCTTCACAATCTGTCTTGCCTGATTTTCCCTCATTCTCTCCACTTTTCCAATTTTCATTTCTGCCCTCTTCTTCCTACTCTATTTCTCCAAAGTTCTAAATGGTAAAAAGAAAGTGCAGGAATTTGAGCATGAAACAGTTTTGAGTAGAAAAGGCCAATGGTGACCATCCAGGGCCTCACAAGGTGCTGTCACCGCAGGCCAGGGATAGATGAGGTCCTCATGGACAGGCTGACCCAAACCAACAATACAAGAGACAGAAGTATATGTTAATGTGCCAGCTTAATAATCGAGAAACACAGCTGTCCAGCTGTCAAATACCCAGACATATTTCTTGGTCAGCTCAGTCTCTCTTGAACTAATCTATATGACAAGCCAAATTATGAAGCCTTTTAGTAAATAGAGGCTCAGAAGAGGGGAATTAGAAGGTCTTCATGGCTTGGAGGCAGAGACATTATCAGCCTTCGTGTTTCAACAGCTGGCCAGCACTGTGCCTGACACCCAGAGTGGATGCCTCCTAATAATTAGTACTACCTCTTTACAAGTACTGCCATGAAACCAGGCATCTGGGTTGTGGCTCAGGGCACCTGTCACCTGGATTGTGCTGGCTGAACCCTGCCAAATTCTACCCTCCAACTCCCTGTAAAGAAGTTCCATGACTACCATTCCCCTTTGACTAACATATTTCTTTTAGCCGTGTTTATGCCATTAACTAAGCTTTAGTGAAGTCCTGATCTTTTTGTTTTGGGTCTGGAAGATAACCTGATCTGGATGCTCTCTCAAAAGTTTAGCTCTCATAAATCCTCTGGGCGACGTATATAGTTGTACTGGCAGCAAAGCAAAAAGTGAAATGAAGGGTTTTGAAATGAGAGGCCTGTTTCTATGTAAGTCCATTTTTGATAAATTGATTTTACTGGTGTTACTCTCAAAGAGAAGAGTGGTTTCCTGTTTTCTGAGTATACTGCCTTCAGAGGCCTTCCCTAGTGGCAAAAACCATCCCTTTCCTAGCTCAAGATTTACCTCTGATAAGAAATGTTAGTAGATTATTTTCTGGGCTTCCTAATTAGCAGCCCACAAAGACTTGGCAAGGTGAGCTTTTCAATGGAAAGGTAGCTACACGAAAGTGCAAATGCAGCACTTTTCACAACAGACAGCTTCTCTGAAGTTGCAGATAAACCCAATTTTAACGAATTAAATCTACTTTGAAACCCTAAAAGGAACTTTCAAGTCATGAATTCCCGAGATGAATCTTTGGTTATGTAACAAGTTCCTAATGCAGTTCTCCCAAAGATTTAGATCTCATAAATCAAATTATTTTATAGCAAAGCATTCCTGTTCACTACTGCTTAAAAGCCATTCTTACGCTTGAAACTTTCTTGACATTTTCCCCATATGGATCCCATGTTAAATATTGGAACACATCAGCATTTGGTGGTGGCATCACACACTTTAGAGTTTGTTTGAAAGCAAACCATTATAGTATTGGGGGGGGGGAATGACTTAGAATCAAGGCCCTGACTATTTCACATGAGTCTACTTACAGATTGGGAAAAACTCCTGATACTAGTAGGCATTAGCACCTCAGTGGTAAATGCCAACTGGCAACTAGAGTTCTTCTCTAACTGCCTCTTTTATAAGCAACAGGGTTCTGACCCAGATAAAAACTCTTCAAGAGGGTAAAAGTACTATGATGTAGACAGCGGGCTTTTTTTGTTGGGGATCCAAATGCTCTGACAGGAGCACGTACACTGTTTCACAAACTCAAACAGAACTCAGTCTAGATAAACAGGGAGCGTTTCATCTAAGCAGACTTCAAAGGCAGTGTTGGTTCAGACATCATTAATTCCTTTTATTCCTTTGATGTGTCTGTCCCTCATGATGGAAACTGCTATTATTATTATTTTTTAAAGAAACTAAAGCACAAAAAGACAGTGAAAAAGCTACAAACTGATTTGGCAACAACTAAGCAAGAGGCTGCCATCACAGTCCTGGAACTCAATGAGAAGATAAAGACTCTGTGTGAAGGAAAGCCAGCCCCTAGAGGTCAGTATTACCACGTGACAGATCTACACTGGCCTGTCCACTGGGTGACGTATGTAGTTGTATTGTCCATGAAACAAAAATCGAGGCCATAGGCCTGGCCTGACCTTTGTGCGGCACCAGTAGAGACAGCACATGAACTACTAACTCCAGGCTGGATTCACATTCACCTGGAGAGGGGCAGGGAATGAATAAGTGGTTTGCTTGTAAAGGGAAAGTCTTTGAGGCTGAAGAGCTGGACTGAAATAGATCTGAGAAGTGTCACCAGACAAGCTGGTGGTAGTAAGGGGAGGGCAGGGCCTAAGAAGGCAGGCAGGCACCTGAAGGGACTGGGCTCTGGAGCAAGACGGAGCTGTCTGAAAGCACAGGCTGGCAGAGCAGGGCATGGGGAAGAAAAGAGAATCTTTAAAAAAAAAAAACAAAAACAAAAAAACATAGGCAAATCAACCGGAAACAAGCAGGGCAGTTTGGCACGAGATAAAATCTGGGTAGTTCAGAAAATTGTTAATAGCCATATTGGTTTTGATTTTTAAAAAAAGGCTTCTCCAACTAAGAAACTGTAAACACACCATTAGGCAACAAACAAACAATAAAAAACCCCAAGTCTCAGACTGTTAGTTTAGTAAGAATACTAGTTAACATGTAATACAGTACTAGGGGCCATGTGTTTTGCTAAGCATTCCATGTCTACTTAACTCTCAGAATAACTTCTGAGGTAAGTACATTTACAAATTCCCTCATACTAAGCAGAGGCTTAGAGATATTCATTACCTTGCCACAGGTTAGACCTGCGCAAGCAACACTTGGATAGTCAGTCTCTAGAGCAGCAGCTGACTGTATCCCAGTGTGCCTTTTCCGGCTTTGGGAGACTCAGGACATTTCCTCTGCTATATCCCAGTAATATCAAACTTCATTCCTGCCTGGTGAATCTCTTGCAAAGCTGTGGTTCCCTGGGAAAAATGTCTTCCTTTGATGTCTGCCACTCTTGCAAAGCCAGGAACATGTTATTGTTCTTACTCTGGCTTCCTTTATTACTCATAAGTAATTCTGGAAAAAGGAGCAATGTGGAATCAAATGGAGGAGGGGGAAGCAAGTGATGTGGTAGTTTCAGAAAAGGGGACACTCCCAGCACCCTGACTACATGGTAAAGCTTTTCATATGAATTTGGTTTTCACTTTCAGCTTTGAATAGTGCTTTCCCAGGATTCAAATAGCATGTAACACTGTGAACTTGAAACAGTGTTTTTCCTTTCAATAAAACAACATAAAGGCAGTTTGCAAATTTGCTTTACCAACATTGAAACCTAAAAGAATAAAATCCATTAGAGAATATTGTCTATTTAAAAGTCCTTATTCTGAGGCATCACCCAGATTTTCCACTGGTTTCATTAGAAGAAACTGACAGTGATTGTAGAGCACATTGGAGAAAGTTCCCCAGCTCACTTAAGAGAAGCTTTCAACTTTGCAACTGCATTTTAAACCCGGTGCAAAAAAAGTATAATTGCAAGATATCTAATTCTTGTTAGTTTCATTTTTTCAATGTTATTTACTGTATAATGACAATTTGTCTCTTGGATATTTTGATAAGGCAAAATTTAAATAATACTGCGGGCCTAGGATCCAAACGACTTGGGGGAGATAAGAGAACATTAAATCCTACCCTTTTTTGCCCATTTATTCTCTTTATTTTTTTTTTAACTACCTGTATAGAAAAACACAGATATTTATGAACAGATATAAATTTAAAATGAAAATAAAGCCAGTCACTGTAAGATCCATTATGGATCAAAACAGTGTTTCTCTTTAGGCTTGCATGTTGCTTCTTATATTTAGTGGAGAAACTGAGTCAGCTGATTGACATGTAGCACTAAGATCCTAAATCAAATACTTGCACATTCTTGCTTTTTCATAGGCCCCTTGCAGCCTCACCCAAATTCAATAGTCTGGAAGATTGTCAAGGCCATTGTGGCCCCTGCATAATATGAACTGGCATTCTCAGAAAGCTTGGTCACCTTGGCCTCTTAATTCACTTCAGAATAAAGTCTGAAAGATGTCCAGCAACTTTAACACACAATGACCCCTATGTAACCACAGAACAATTAGGGCTGCCCCACCCACACACACATAGTTCTGGACCTAGAACACCACCACTCCCCTGATTATCTTGTAAAATGTTTGTTTTGGGTTCTCAGACCTCTGTTTGCAAATGACAGATGCTCCGGTCATAATAGCTTAAGGAGAAAGGGTGATTTATTGGCACATGTAAACAAACCAAGAGACAGCATTGCACTAGCCTTAGAGTCAGATGGATTCCAGTCTAAAGTACCATCAGAAAACTCTGTGTCACTCATCTCTGCTTCTCTCTGCATTGAGACTTCATTCTCTCAGGCTAGATGTCTGAAGAGAATGAAAATGTGGCCACAGGCAGCTATGGGCTGCCCTCCTTATCATGTAATCTCCAGGGAAGAAAGAAAGCATTTTTCCACTAGCTCTAGTTGGAAAAAGTGCAAGAAAGAACTCAGTCCTGGCTTAGGTTGGGTACCCATCTGTCGATATGAACCAGTCTTTGTGGCCAGGGCTGAGGAAATAAGGTTGGACAAACTGTGGTCATGTCGCCACCACTGGGTGGCAGGACAGAGAGAAGTAAAGGTGAGGAAGGAGCATGCTCCAGCTGGCAGCTCCCACTGAAAGCACAGAGCTAGATTAGGAGAAATCCACTTTCTTAAAGGGACATCTCATTACTGGAAAGGAGCGATAGGCAAAACCAATATCTCCTAGCCAGCTGTGGTGATGCATGCCTGTAATCCCAGCTACTTGGGAGGCAGAGGCATGAGAATTGCTTGAACCTGGGAGGCAGAGAGGTTGCAGCGAGCTGAGATCGTGCCACTGCACTCCAACCTTGGTGAAAGAGCAAGAATTTACCTTAAAAAATAAAATGAAATAAAATAAATTAAAAAAAAAAAAACAACCTCTCCAATATACCCTCAGCAGCTAGTGTTCAAGTTAAAACATAGCATAGGCCAGGTGCAGTGGTCCACACCTGTAATCCCAGCACTTTGGGAGGCCAAGGTGGGTGGATCACCTGAGGTTAGGAGTTCCAGACCAGCCTGGCTAACATGGAGAAACCCCGTCTCTACTAAAAATACAAAAATTAGCTGAAAATGGTGGTTGGATCCTGTAATCCCAGCTACTCTGGAGGCTGAGGCAGGAGAATCGCTGAAACCTGGGAGGCAGAGGTTGCAGTGAGCTGAGATCTCACCACTGCACACTGGCCTGGTCGACAACGTGAGACTCCATCTCAAAAATTAAAAAAATAAAATAAAATACATACAAACACACACACATACACACACACACACACACACACACACACACACACACACAGTACCATACTTAATGAGCCACCCATCCCATGGGTATTTGTACTTAAAAGTGTATTATTCTCAATGAACAAAAGACCTTCATGATCTAAGAAATAAATCTCCAGTGGTATAATTTCAGATCCCATAATAAATAGGGAACTTACCACTTTGGAAAAGGAGTTCCCTCCTAGCCGTTAGTAAGTGATACATGGCAACCTACTCTGAAGGCTTGCTTTGTTGTAATAATTATATAGTCAGAAGGAAAAAAGTGTTGATTCTAAGTGACATTTGTTATGCAGATTAATATTAAGCTATTTCTCTGTTACAGTTACAAGCTGATGCTTACAGTTCTAACAAGCAGATTAATGAAATGTTTCCAAATAAATTAGGACTCCTTTTTACCTCTGTGTGGTTTTTCCTTGTTTGATTCATTTTCTAAGCAGTCTATAGGTCATTCAGATCTGCCATTCAGGTCTTCTGATCAGAGGGATCAGAGGGATGTTCCAGAATATTAGGAATATTTTTAGGCATATTCATATTTGAATTAATGAAACAGTGTGCTAACAAACTTCTTTCTTTTTAAAAATATAAACACAGTAAACTATTTCATTAGCAGTGTGCTTAAATTACCTCCAAGGAAATAAACGATTTGAGTCAATGGAAAGTTCAGCTGAAAAGAAAAGCACCTTTATTACAAAACTGGCACGGCAGGAAACTTACAGCCTGAGTGTTGTTTGTTGATTTTACTTTGTTCAAATAATCACAACCCAAGGCGGATTCCTTCCGTCATTTCCACACCTGAAATGCTTACAGCTCTGTTTATCAGAACTCAGTAAAACATCTATTGTACACCTTCAAAGCTTGAGTCCACTTTTGGCAAACTTCAGTATGCGGGAACCTAAGGTTAAATTTTACAACAATCCTGTGGCCAAGTGTGGTGGCTCACGCCTGTAATCCCAGCACTTTGGGAGGCCGAGGCGGGATTATCACCTGAGGTCAGGAGTTTGAGACTGGCCAAGATGGTGAAACCCCATCTCGACTAAAAATACAAAAATTAGCCGGGTGTGGTGGTGGTTGCCTGCAATCCCAGCTACTCAGGAGGCTGACGCAGAATTGCTTGAAGCTGGGAGGTGGAGTTTGCAGTGAGCCAACACCGAGCCATTGTACTCCAGCCTGGACGACAGAGCAAAATTCCATCTCTCTCTTTCTCTCTCTCTCTCTCTCTCTCTCTCACACACACACACACACAGACACACACACACACACACACACACACACACACACACACACACACAGAAAACAATCCTTGTTTCCTTTGGCTTAGGACAGTTCCTTTGCAAAAGACCTTATTAACTGTGTCCTGTTGTTGGTGCATTAGCAGTTACTTGGTCTGATGACAGTGCCTGCCTTTGACCAGAATATCAGGACCTTGGTTTATAGATTTCAAGCTAGTATACTCAAGGGAATTTATCTTTCTGATTTTTTTCCTTTTAGTTTCTTTTTTGCTCTCTCTCTTAATACACACAGCTACCAAATAAGGTGTCTAGCCTACACATGCATGTCCCCATTATCCCAATGAAAGTCCTGGTAACTCTAAAGTCATCTCTTTGTTTTTTTTCCCATTAAGGAGAAGGACTTACAA